TTTTTTGCTTGGAAGATAAACAAATGAAAAGAAAAAAATAAAAAGACAAATTGCAGTTACTTTGGTATGGTTGGCAAAATTCACAATGAAAAGGTGTTGTTACCCCTCAAAATATTCGTCGGAGTTGTTACATATTTTCCATCAGCGTAAAATCTTTTGTCCGTTTAGCTCTGTTGACCCTAGATCTTTGACATTTTGAGAATCCGCATTTATGTTTCGCAATGGATATCAGAGTTCCTTGCTGATGTGTTTAGGGATCTCCGACTACCAAAATCAATTTGTGACTTATCACGAAAAGAGTATAGCAATCATGGTGTCAAGAGACGTTTAGAAGGTCCTCCCAGGTGTCCAAATATATAGAAAGTTTTATTTGGATGCTTGTGCAGAGAAAAAAAATTAATGAATATTTTCATAATTTCATTCATGGTTCATTTTTCCATATTGTACATGTACTTCGCTTTGAATATAAGTACAAATTCTTATGATCATGAGAAAGACGCAATTTTTTCCAAATAATGTAAACATTTCATTTAAATCGCAACTATTTTCCTATTTCGCTCTACTTTACCACTATTTGCGATCATTTTTTCTCTCTCTCTTTCTTGGTAAAAATACATGTATTCCTCCCAAGAAAAAAACCACCACCATACATTGTTCGGATGTGTTTTGGTATCGCTCTCCGCCTCTTTCCTTACTTAGTGGTTGTTGTTTATTTGACTACTGTTTCTGTTGCTAACAATAGCCGACTTTCAACATATTCGATTGTGACAAGTTTTGCATTTCATTGTTTATTTATTTCAGACACTCGACCTCTGCGTTGGTTTAACAAAATTCGCATATGTATTTTCCAAATTATTTTGATATAAATACTAAATACAATATATCAAACAATCCAAACCGAATGTTTGACATTGTATATGATTTGTTCTAATAGTGATCATGTGCATTCGCTGAAATGGTGAGGCATTATCCTGCCTTTTGCATTTTTTAAATTCTGGGGACTCTTTGTTGCCTTTATATTAAATATTTAAATCGAAGGAAAAAAATTTGAGAATGAATTCCATAAAATTATATAATACATTTTTTTTATAATTAATTTATTATTAAAAAAACTGTGTCGATTTTTCAATAATTAATTTTTAAATATTTAATTTCAGTGTCCGCCAATTTATCACAATCCCATCAACATCACCAGTCAAATGATAAGGATGGCAAAAAGAAACACACCCGCCCAACATTTAGTGGTCAACAAATCTTTGCGCTGGAAAAGACATTCGAACAAACCAAATATCTGGCTGGACCAGAAAGAGCTAAACTAGCATATGCCTTAGGAATGACTGAATCACAAGTTAAGGTGAGTTGAAAAAAATAATTATTATTTTTAAAAAATTGGTTAGAAACGAAAAAGGGATATTAAAAAAAAAAACAAATATAGTTGTGAGATTACAACAAAAAATGCTCTGAAAAAGACTGCTTCTTTAATAATACCAAATGTAGAAGATTGAAAGATTATAATTTACTTCCCAGACGACAAATGACATCAAATTATCATTTCTGACATAGATATCTAATTATCACTTTCCCTCATTGTATATATATCGATCATCCAAAATTAATAAATTTTAATATAAGTCGTTTATTTTGAAATATTGTAAGTGGTATTAATTTTGGTTTGTGGCTTTGTGCCTTTAAACATGATAGGATATATAACGTAATATATTTCGTTAACTTTTCTAGTAAACCAAAATTTTTACCAGAACCTAAAATGGACTTAAACCACTTTCAAAATAAACAACTTATATGGGATATACATTTTACCATGTTGTCTCAATATGATTTTGTATTCTCCATATAAAAAATAGTATTTTATTCCACCCAATTTCCTTTTGCTTCAATTCGTTTCCCTATCCTGTAAACCTCGATCTGCCATTGTCATCCTTCCTAGTCATCATAAACATTAACTTCATTCGTGTCATTCGCCCATAATCAGGCACGTGCTTTTGTGGTATTAAATAAATCCCATGTTGGCGTTTGTTTTCATTCAACAAAAATGGCTCAGAGGCTCAGGTGCGATGATGAGGATTTGTTCAAATAGCTGGGAGATTTGTTGCCGTTGTAATGATGATGCTCCCCATGAGGTGTGTCTGTGTAAAAGTAAATCGTGATTTCAACAAGGATTTTGTGTGTTTGGGAATATAAATTAAATGTGAAGAAAAAAGCCACAAATACAGTGATCGGCCTATTTTTGTTATAATAAATGGTGTTTAGTTAAATTATTTATCGATTTTTTTAATGACAGTACCTTTTATGAATTACAACAGTGAATTAAAATGATGCAGTGCGTTTTCCGCGAAATTCGAAAAGCGAACAATGAGAATTCATTGCGTACCATGGCAATGTGAGTTCTCAAAAATCGGATCAAACTAACACCACTTTACCATGAAGTGTAGGGGTCATCCGTCGTACAACCGGGGCCAGGCACCCAATGAATACTTTTTATTCCCACAAAACTACCAAAAAATGCTGTTGAAGCATTCAAATCCATATTTTGGAAGTGTCCCAAACGGAGTTTAAAAAACCTTTAAAAATCATACTGAACCATATTTTGAAAAAAAGAAAACATTTTAAGCATAAATATTCGCATTCTCATTATAATCATATTCAGTTGATGTTATAAAAATTGTGCCCTCTTAATTCGAAAAAAAATCTGACATTGTATTATTACTAATTAACATTTTCCAATTACGACATACATCCATGTGTTACAATCTAGATAAAAAACAATGTGTTGAGATTTTGCAGATTATAACAAATTTCATTTGAAATAAAATTTTCAATACAAAACACCACTCTCATGTTGTTCATATTAATTTACATAGTAATATGTAAGTTGGGGCGAAATCTACGACATGGCAGACTACAATTATCCTAGACATAATATGTAAGCCTCTGAAACTCCCCAAATGTAAATATTTGAATATCAGTTTTGTTTTTCTTCCCAAAATTGTTTGCATCCATTTGCAATTCAGTTCGAACATCATTTTTTTGCGTACAGTCCACTACTAACGAATACATGCATGCATGAATATGCATGATAACATTTCTAAACGTCCATTTGGAATTTTATGCAGTGGGGTTTATAGTTGGAGCCGAGTTCTTTACAGCCTAAGGGGTAGTATATTTGTTTGGAATTGCTGGCGATGGATGGAGTTGTTGCATCAAATTGAATCAAAATGTCAGTCGTTGCAGCAGCATGGAAATGTTGCTGGTTTTTGTTTGTCTGCATGTGAACTACGACGAATATAATGTGCTTAGAATATTTTATGGCATTCAGTAATGGAAGATGATAGCAATTTTTTGGTAATTTATCACAACATGTTTTATAAAGTGTATAGATATGTTAAAATGAGTGTTAAAATATTGAATACGATTATGGGACAGTTGTAGTTGTAGTAGTTTTATTTCTTCTCGTTTGGTTCAATGTTTTCTTCTTCATTATGTTTTGCCTCTTTTCTCCTTATTTACTTACATGTGTTAATATTCTGCTTTATCAGAAAAAATCATATACAATGTTAAACATTCCGTTGAGGTTGGTGTTCGTATCAACACTTTGATATATTTGATATATTGTATTTAGCATTTATATCGAAAGAAAATGGAAAATGCATATGCGAATTTTCTGACACCAATGAGCTGAAATAAAGACACAATGGCATGCAAAACTAGTCACAATCGAGTGAGTGAAAAGTCGCCGGTTGATAGCGACAAAAACAGTATTCACATAAACGGTTGCAAAAGTAACATTCACAATCAGGGTAGGCGGAGAGCGATACCAAAACAATGTCCAACAATGAGTGGTGTTGGTGTTTTTTGTTTTCTAGCGAGACATACATCTATTTTTGTCAGAAAGTGACAGAGAAAGGAAGATATGAGCAAATAGTGGTGAAGTAGACGAAAGTAGGAAAATAATTTTGATATTAACGAAAAGTTTACATATTTGAAATAATAATGGCTTTCTTATGATTATAGGAATTTTTTATTTTTTGTTGTACATTTTATGTTAATAAATGCTTAAATGTAGTTCACTTTTTAAAAAAGAAATATATCTTAATCTGTTTGTGAATAAGGAGGTAATGAGAAAGTGCTTTGGATGATAGGGAAGCTTTGAAAACCATGTGAAAGCAGGTGACTTGTGATAGTGTTATTTTTGTGTTGTTTTGAAAATTTGATGGGCTAGAGTAGTGGACGGGTTTAGGACCATAGACCTGAAACCGCTAGCTAAACTACAAATGAAATTATGAAAATATTCATTTAAATTTTTTCCTGTGCATATATTTGTACACATAACTCATATACATTTCTAGCTATTTAAGCATGTAAATACCCCAATAAATAATAATAAAAACTTCACACAAAATTTAACAATGATACAACAAAAAATAAAAACAAAATCTAATTTAAATTTTTTCATATCGTAAGATTCGTTTCTTCTTCTACAGTTATTTTTCCAATATTTTATTTATGAGACCTCCAACTTCATTGTAGTCGTTAAAGGAAACCCCAAAGGTGCTAGGATGCCACCAATAAAAAAAGAAACCACCAACTGACAAACAACATATGTATGTACTCGTATGTCATTAAATGGCCATAAGTTTCTCATGGCGTTTAATGACCGACGGACCGACCCATCATATATTTCATTGACATCCCATTGCGCTTTTGCGTGGTTAGTTTGTGTGTGGCATTATTGGTGTGGCAATAAAAAGAAACTGTTTAAAAGAACATTTTTTTCTGAAATGGAAATAAGTCAGCATTCAGAAAAGTTCGACTGCTTTAAATTTTAGTGATGTATTGTTGATTGTACATTGACATGTTAATGTCATAAATTTGTCATACATAATATATTGTTTAAATTTTGGGTTTTGTTGGTTGTTGGTCAGGTTGTAAATTTATTCGGAAGGGCATACAAAATTTTATTTTAAATTTCGAATAAGCCTTTTATTGAGTTCTTAATCTTAAACATAATTTTTAACATTTTATTGTAAAGGGAATTTGAAGGCGTCTTATAAAGAGAATAGGGTTTCTTCAAAGACGTTGCGTTTCTTCACAAATTTGTAGTTTCAAAATTGGTTTTTATACCTCATTTCAATTTTCAAGGGAAAATATAATTTTAAAAAATATCAATATCTGGGACTATACAAATATATAACCTCTTCGGCAACTTTATTTATCATTTTAGATATTGGATTAAAATAAATGACATAAATATTAAATTGATATACGACTGTGTTATTATGGCTACATAATTGACGGACTTAAAAGATGTGTTTATATATAAATTTAAATATTTTAATATATTTATTTATTTTATGATATTTATTTAAATATTTAAATTGCCTTTAAATGTATTACGAAAATCTATGTTCGCATTGTTCTCCTTATTCCACAATTCACTTGATACCTTGTCTTACATACCATCCACTTGTAATTCCTATTATTTCCCTGTCTCCGAACATAAAACAAGCACACAAGAAGTCCCCACCCCATTATTCTGGCATCATTAAGAAGAATTTTCATGGTCATTATTTTTGTGGCAACAGCTGTGACATACTAATTTGCCTTCAATGGCTATGTCTGTGTTTTGTTGCTTCCACATTATTTTGTGTGGAAGAGGAAAACAAACATTCCAACGATGTAAGAATGATAATGTCCTGAAGATACTTTAGGACAACATGATACGTTTACCAATGGTTAGCACCCTCTTAGGGCCAATGTAAATGTCCGGTCTTTATGTGTATGTAACCGTATGTTGTTTAATTGTCTTTAAATTAAGCTTTTCTGTCGTTAGTTGTGTGGACATTTTTCTTACAAAATATTAACAGAGATTTTTTTGAAGACTTGTACTAAGTACTTGCATTAAATCTATTTTTATAAAAATAATTGGTTCATCCTGAAAATGTTTCTGTATATTTAATTTCAATCTTCAAAACTTTGAATGCGCCCTACATTAAATTTGCCATTCCGTTAGCAACATCTCAAAATATTCATTGGAGATCCCAAAAACATTTAATTGTTAATGTTCATGCTCTGCGTTATTAGAACAACAATTCGGTTTGATATATTGTATTCAGCATTTATATCGAATTTTGTGACACCAATGCAGAAGTCGGTACAAGTGTCTGAAACAATGGATTGCAAAACTAGTCACAATTGAGTGAGTGGAATGTCGCGGTTCTTGTTGTTTTCATCCGAAATGACAATAATTAGACCGTTAGGAGTTTAAGAGAATAAACTATATATTTTCATAATTCGCAGGTGATATTTTCAAAATTTCTTTCATAAAATTTCTTTCCACAAAATGTCAACTTAGAGATATAACATAAAAAATATTCTCCATAACATTTCACTATAAGTCTCCAAACAACACAAATCACTATATCCAACATATATCAATAAACAAATACGATTCTAATTATACCCTACACAACTATATTGTCGAGGTATTATAGCTTTGTGCAGCCCCAGGAGTTTGTAACGCCGCGAAATATTGGTCCTAGACCCACCTTTAAGATACCGATCGTCATATCTCGACTACCTGAGTTGTTCTAGACATGTATGTCCGTCCGTCCATTATATTTGATAAACACGATACAGACCACAGTTATGGACCAATCTTCACGAAATTTTGCATGTAGAATGGGTTTGGTAAAGATTTGTTAATATTTAGGGGATGAAATGGACCAAATGCTTAATTTTTGTCGGTTTTTCTGGTCGCTCCAGAGGCCGCAATTATAGCCCAAACATCTCGAATTTTTACATGGAGAAGGGGATTGGACCAAAAAATAAACATGCCTGTTTTGATAAAGATCGGTCAATATTTAGCGGGTCAAATCGACCCTGACTTTTGTGTGAAAAATGACAAAATTTTTATTTTATAGCGTATATATTTATCCCTGATGGAGTGGTTGGCCTTTAAATTGATACCACTTATATTGTCGTATGGACTCGGATGTGGGAGTTACACGTAAATATTTACAGGTACTTACGTATTCAGATATTTTTTAATATACCATTTCCATACTCGAGAGCGGAAATATAGCGCTGATCGCTATGGAATGTTCCATGAGGTTCCAGTTATGATCAAATACAACGCCTATAATTTTCGATGATGATCAGATAATAATTTTGGGATGAAGTGGACCAAATTTTTTTTGTTTTTTTTTTCATTCAGTCTATAGGCTACAATTATAAGCCGAACACCACAACACAGCCCACGGTGAAGGTAATATGGAGAAGTAATTAGAAGGGCTGTACTGAATATTGGTAATATTCGGAAAATAAGTCAGTGTAACCTTTGTTGACCTCTAATCGGGCAAGAGGGTGCAACTATCAAGAAATATTACCCATGCTTAGAATAAAAATCCACAGAAAGATGGAGTTCTGTGGTAGTTGTGTAGGGTATCGTATGGTCGGCCGCGTCCGACTATACTATAATTTTCATAATGAGTTAATTTCTACTACAAGACTTAAGTGTGGGGTAAGATATTAATGGCAAAAAATGTCTACATCAAATTTCATTATGGGTATCCGACTAAATGAAATTGTTAGCTATATTATAAATTCATGAAATATCACCTGCCAATTGTATACACATTTTTTATAATTCGATAGTGGCCATTTTAAGAGTTGTTTCTATCAGGGATTAATTTCTACCACAGGTCTTTACTTTGGCAGAAAGGTGTATTGAGAAAAAAAAATTCCATCAACTTCCATAGGGAATCTCCGATCAAAAGACATCGATAGCTCCATAAAATGTCAAGAAGATATCACTTGAAAATCGGATATATATTCAAAATGTTGTTCTTCGTAACTTCGTAACCCCTTGGTCATATAAAATCGGCGGGACTCATACTTATTATTCGTCATATTTATTTACTTTAAAATTAGCCAAACAAAATACAAAGCTTTAATATTCTGTAAAACTTAACTTGTCCCAAAAACAATGTGCTTTACATATATATAAGAATATGTGTTGGAAATTGTTGTTGTTAGTCCAACAAGAACATTTGTTTGGGTTTTGTTAGGCAAGAAGGCAACACATGTGTAACAAAAAACCCGACAACAAGGATTCACATAAAGCTAATTTCAAAAAGAACAAAAAAATGGAATGAGAAAATGGAAACAAAAAATTGTATCTGAAAAAAAATTAGTCATGGTTTGTATAGACCGAAAAACGTCAGTTGGTGGCCCTGGACACAGATTGTGGTTTTTGGGTTGTTTTATTTTCTCTTAATTGAGGGTTAACCGGCGTTGATGAGGTTTATGGAAACTCAAGGCATGTGTTTATAATTGTGTCCGTGTGTGTGAAAAAATCTGTGTCATATATTGACCCAAGTATAAATAAAATTTTGGAAAACATAATGACTTTTTACACATATTGCCAAAAGGAACTAAAGGCCAAGGGAGAAAAATTTTAAAATATTATTTTTCCCCTAAAATTCGTTGTAAATATATCCCTTTTTCCGCTAATTACTTCACTCACACACACTACTACAAAAACCCCAAAAAATATAAATACAATTAAATTAATTTTTGTGTCTGTTTTTCTTTTGTATATTTTTAGGTTTGGTTTCAAAATCGTCGCACCAAATGGCGTAAACGTCATGCTGCTGAAATGGCCACGGCCAAGCGTAAACAGGACGATATTGGTGGCGACAATGGTGACGATTGCAGTGAACCCATGGACAGTGATAATGAAAGTTTAGACATCGATGAAAATCCGGCTCAGAGGAAACGAAATCGCATGGAAGACAATTATCGCCATTAGTTGTGCCCTGTTAGCTGCCAAAGGGGATGGAATTAAAGCTATTAAAATATTTTAGTAATTAAAACACACAGAAAATTTAAAACAAAAAATGAAACGAATTTAATTTGAAAATATTCTTATATACAAAAATAATGAAAAATTTCAACTATATACATTATATATTAATTTAAGTCCAATACAAATGATATTTTAGAGACTATTTTCACCAATAAGTAATTATCTAAGTTTTAGTTTTATACATTTTGTTTTAAAGTTTAGTTTTATTTTATTATTTTCAAAAAACAGCAACATAAAATGTTAAATAAATATTATATAAAAAAATATGCAAATACTATTTTGTTTAAATACTTTAAAAGTCTTTAGAAGACATTTATTATGTTAAAAAAAATTAAAAAACACTTTATATTTTATTGAAATTATTGTAAATAATTTTTTGTTTCTGCTAGAAAAAAAATAAGAAATATAAAAATTATAGCCACCAGGTATCTGGAACACATCATGTATTTTATTCATGGATTGAAACCAATATCGTTTTTTGAAATAAATTTCAATTTTACGTTCCATTTAAAAAAAAATATTTTTATAAATCAAAACTCCTTTCTAATTTTGAGTTTTAAATCTGAAAATCTTGTAATTGTATTCCAGAGGGCATTTCTCTAAATTTGTATATAAATAACAATTAATTATAATGATTAGCAACAACAATAAAAAAGGACTTTTATTCTTCATAATATACATAATAAAATATTAATTATAAAAAATAAAAGATTAATAAATAAACATAGCAACTATTATAAAGTATTAGTTTAATATTAAAAACATATGTACATTATAAAACAAAAAATAATTATTTTGATTTGTTCATAATAATGCTTATTTTTACATACTTTTCGTTGCCTATATAAGAATTAAACGAATTTCTGTACTTATAAATGAATTAGATCATAAGTTCTTTTAATTTACATCACATCCATTTCATTGTCACATATTTGTAAATTTTAATAGTTTTAATAATTGATAATCGCTTATCTATAAATTCCTAAATAAGAATAAATGCAAATAATTTAATATTAACAAAAAAATTGTCATTGTGTTAGATGACAATGTCAACATGCAAGTGAAAAAGATTCAAAATAAATCTATTCAAAAATTAAATAAACAAAATGTGTTTCATTGAAATCGATTCCATTCAAAAATCGGACGAAGCGACTATATGATACCATTCACCACTTTGGGTAAAGAAGAAGATTCTTATTGCAACATACACTTATATTTATAACGATTTAAACAAAGCTTAACAACTGGCCCGAGTCAGATTTAGATATTGCTCCCATATATAGTTTCATCCGATTTTAAGTAAATGAGGCAACAAAGTCCCTATATATCTTTCGATTTACACGAAATTTGGTATAGAGTACCGAATTGAGTCTCGAATGATGTGTGTCAAGTTTCGAAAAAATCGGATCAGATTCAGATATAGATATAGCTCACATATATATTTTCGTCCGATTTAAGGTAAATTGTGCACTAAAGACCCATAGCTAGGACGATTGACATACCGCTCTGAAATTAGTATTCCTTCGAAAAGGCGACGTTTGTTAAGATGCATATGTATAATATACTCAAAGTGGTGAAGGGTATCTGTGAGGGTGAGGGTCACCCTTGGTCCAAATGTGACAGATAAGGCTCAGTTTTTGGAAATTCGTACTAGAACGATACGAAAAGTACTAATCTATACTAATAAAAGAGTAAAGTGATTGACTGATTTAATGATTTCTCAACGCCCAGACGAAACGGCTGAAGCTAGAATCTTGAAATTTTGGTGAGGGTCACTGTTGGTCCAAAGGTGACAAATAAGGCTGGGTTTTTGGAAATTCGTACCAAAACGGTACGAAAAGTACTAAATGTGATACCATTTGTATTACCAAACGGTTGCAGCTTTGAACAAATTTTGGAAATTAGTACTAAAGGTACAAAATTTTATACTACGATGGGGGCAGATATCTGTAACTTCAGCTATTACAAATAGAATGAAGGGCAAAAAAAAAATTTTTTTTTTTGAAATTATTATTAGTTTTTTTGAAAATTCGCATATAGCTTTAAATATTACAAAAAGTATGTATAGTATTCTTTTTGTAATAGTTAAAGCTATATGCGATTTTTTTTTTTTTGGAAATTAGTACTAAGTGGTGACATTTATCTGAAATTAGTATGTAGCTTACTCTATTTCAAATATAATGCTATGTATAATACATTGGAATTTGTAAGAAATTAGAATTAGTTAAAGCTTTATGCGATTTTTTTTTGGAAATTAGTACCAAGTGGTGACATTTATCTGAAATTTAGTATGTAGCTTATAGCCTAGACAGACGACAGCCTTAATTTGCATTAACAGCCTCAATTCAAATTAACTTGTACATTATCCTCATTTTTAATGCACAAAATCAAACTGAATTTATACTGAATTAACCAATTTCAATATGGCAATGCTGTCGAAAATCAATTTATTGTTGTCAAATTTGTTTACATTTATAAAAATTATAAATAAAGGCAAATTTCAACATTCTTTCAAATTTGGAGTTGCTTTGCCAACATCATAGCTGCTTTTCTTCCTTTATGCCATGTATCTTTTTCATAAGGATCTAATCACGAAAAATATTGTAAACCAATGACAAAATTTTCTTCCTACAAACAGACAAACAATTGTTTTGAAACAAAAAACTGTTTGTAAATGCAGAAACTCTCGTCTGTCAGGGGTAAATATTAATTCAAATTAAGAATTTTTTAATGCAAATTAAGGCTGTCGTCTGTCTACGGTATTACTCTATTGCAAATATAATGCTATGTACAATACATTGAAATTAGTACTAAATACTGTATTATAATGAAACCGGAAGAAATATAAATCTGCAAAGCAGTACATAGATTTAAATATTACAAATACTATGCTATACAGCAATAAATTTTTGGAAATTAGTACTGTACAAAATATTTAATTATAATGGAAAAGTTGGAGATTGAAATCTGTGTAAATAAGAGGATTGGTTTATTGGAAATTCGTTCTAAATGGCACCAAAAATACAAAATATTGCACTGTGTAGGAAAAAGTATAATTCTGAAATTCAGTATATAGTTTTGTATATTATAAACAAATAGAATACAGTAATAACCAGTGAGCGGAGCAGTATAGTCGGACGGAGCCGACCATACGATACCCTACACAACTACCATGGAACTCAAATTTTCTGCGGATGTTTATTCTGAGGCTGGGCAATATTTCGTGATTTTTGCACCCTCTTGCCCGATTAGAGATAAACAGCTCCTCTTCCTCACACTGACATATTTTCCGAATATTACGCGTATTCAGTACAGCTATTGTCCAGATTCCCTTCACCGTGGGTTGTGTTGTGATGTTCGGCTTTCATTTGTGGTCTATAGATCGACTCGAAAATAACAAAAACCAGTGAGCGGAGCAGTATAGTCGGACGGGGCGGACCATGCGATACCCTACACAACTACCACGAACTCTAACTTTCTGAGGATGTTTATTCCGAGTCTGAGTAATATTTCGTGATATTTGCCCCCTCTTGTCCGATTAGAGGTTAACAACACCTCTTCCTTACTTTTTTCGAATATTCAGTACAATCCTTCTATTTACTTGTCCAGATTACCTTCACGGTAGGTTGTGATGTGATTTTCGGATTATACTCTACTCGAGAACACACAAAAAATTATGTTTTCGGTCCATTTCATCCCAAAATTTTAATCTGATCATCACCGAAAGTTGTAGGCGTTGTTCTTGACCATAACTGGAACTTCATGAAAATTTTCAAAGCCATCAGCGCGATATTTGTCCCTCTAATGTGGTAATGGGTTACTAAATAATATCTGAACCCGTAAGCACCTGTAAATATTTGACTGTAACTCCCACATCTGAGTAGATACATCACTATATTTGGTATCAATTTAAAGGAAAACCACTCCTCTTGGATATGATATCAACTCCTGGGGTCTACATCCTCCAGGAGTAAATATATATGCCATAGAATACAAATTTTGTCATTTTTCACACAAAAGTCAGGGTCCATTTGACCCGCTAAATATTGACCGATCTTTATCAAAACATGCATGCTTATTCTCTGGCCCGATCCCCTTCTCCATGCAAAAATTCGCGTTGTTTGGGCCATAATTGCGGCCTCTGGAGCGACCAGAAAAACCGACAAAAATTTAGTATTTGGTCCATTTCATCCCCTAAATATTAACCGATCTTTTCCAAAAACAATAGGGGTCTTCCTTGGCCAGAACCCATCCTACATGCAAAATTTCGTGAAGATTGGTCCATAACTGTGGCCTGTATCGTGTTTACAAATTATAATGGACAGACAACATAGTTGTGTAGGGTATAATAAAATGTTTTGTGTAAATATTTTTCGAACATTTTTACTGAAAATTACTGACTGTTATATGAAATAATTGATTTATACTACAGCAAATAAGCCGCTGAACACAGCAAGTACTAAAGTGTTGGCACTTTTAAACGCATACGTTTCAAAATTTTTCAAAATAAAAGTACTTATATTTATTTCCAACTTATATTTATTTGTAACTTTCGATGCGATGAGTAATGGGCTGGATCTTTATGTCGAGGATATACTAAAAATACCGACAATTTTTTTCATTGAGGATTTTGTAACACGCAACACACCAAAAATACTAAATTTCTGCAAATTTTAATGGAAATCTTCCCTATAAAGGCAGGTCTCTGCATAATAAATTATGCGTTAATTCGTAAGGATACACAAGTACTAAAGCGTACCATTAGTATTAATTTACCGAAAGGAACAAACAAGTTTAAAAACGTATTGTGGTACTATTTGCATTCGTCCATCGGGAGGATCGAAAGAAATGCGGAGTAAAATATGATATTTTGTTTGAAAATTGAAGATATAAAACCTAGAATTAGAACGTTACAAATTTATTTTTAATCCAAAAGTATTTTGTGTTGCTAAA